CAGAGCGGCGCGACCAGCAAACAAAAGACACTCCGTGGCTGAGGAGTCGAAGAAAAACCGACAAGAAGAATTCACAATTCACAGCTTGGCGAACAGAGGTACCACAATGCAGCAAAAACTCTTTGGACTTCAGCATATTGTTTTTTTTTTTTTTTTTAAATCATCACTAGTGTGAAGCGGGCTACAGCAAGTTTGGTCGAGCCGTGTCTTTGTCCACGCAGGCCATTTGGGCTCATTGAGTGTCTCTCGGCTCCTAAGAAACGACCCTTGCTTTCCTTGTGTGCCCACGCATTAAAAAGAGACAAGAAAAACTGTTGACGGCCATGTGCCCTCCGAGCTATTTCCGAATCTGGCGTGCTCGGGCGTTTCGAACAAATGAATTGGCATTTTTTTTTCTTTCGTTTGTTTGTTTGTGCGAGCGCCACGCGGCGGCACTCGAAATTGGCGAGTAAGGCGTTTCGTCGTCTGCTCTCGGAAGAAGGGGGGAGGCCGGCCAGCCGCGGGCTAATCGCTGTCCGACTTGGCGTCCTTGGCCGAGGCGTGGTTGTACAGTCCCTGCGCCATGAGATGCAGCGCCAGCGAGTTCTTGCTGCCTGTGGCCTTTTTGAGTTTGGCCCGCTTGTTCTGAAACCAGATTTTAATCTGAGATTCGTTGAGGGCGAGTTGGCGCGCCAGCTCCCGCCTCCGCTGCTCGGTCAGATAGCGCTCGCTCTGGAACTCGGCCTTGAGCCGCTGCAGCTGCTCCGCGCTGAAGGCCGTCCGGGGTCGCTTGTCCTCTTTCGTCGGGGTCCGGGCCCTCTTCGGTTTACGGGATCTGGGCCCTTGGGTTGGGGGGGGGGCATAAATGGGATACAGTCAATGGTTTGCCTCCCATTCGAGCTTTCGCTTCTCTATTACGGGCCGGACGCCGAACTTGACCGCGCGTTTTTCAGTTTCTGCAACGCCTCGAGGCCTTTGGAGTTCATGTAGTTGCCGCATACGGCCATGTCCCCAAATCGATGTACTTCAGATAAATAAACGCCGGCTGCCACGATCAACCGGTCAAAAGATGACACGAAAACGTCCCGGTACTTTTTGTATTCACGTCCAAACGGCCGAAGGTCACTTTTCATCCTCCTAAGGAGAAGCCACTTGCGCCATGACGCGAAACGCGACGATCCAGTGAAACAAATTCCTTCGGGTCATAAAAAAAAAAAAAAAAATCCACAAACATCGCGCACTTTCTTGAGTTTTTCTTCCGCAATGGGGGGCGGTCGCAGAATCAACCGAGAACGGTACCGGGGTGGCCTGGTGCCAGGTGTCTGCGTGCTGCACCCTCGGGAGGGGACCGAGGCGCCTCTTTGCCTCTGCTCCCCAACTCCGACATTGTCATCTTATTTCCTAAAAAAAGACACGAGAAGCTCGTCTTTTTCAACTCTTCGGGAGATCGACGTGACAAATGAACGCAAATCCACTTAGCGCGTCTCTGCTTGAGGTTTAGCTCCAAAGCGCCCAAATATTGTGGGCCTTCATTCAATTGCCATTACATTGTCCAAAATCAAAAAGTCTGGAGGCTCATTAAACGGCAAATGTGCATGCTTAGTAGGACAACAATTATTATATATTTTTTTTTGGGGGGGGGGCTGCAGACCATTTAGAATTAAAGTGCATTTAGGAAAATAGAATACATTATATTTCTGTGACGTCAGGTCGTTATTGCCCATTCGAGGGTCTTTTGGAGAGGCCGAATGCAGACCCCCCCACCCCCGGTCCTCTTTTTTGCGATTTCCACCATCAGCTCGATGGAAACTTTTCTTGCTTCGAACGCCACATTTTCACATTTCCAAATTTTCTGGGTCTCTGACCTTCCACGACTATTTCTCAGTTGTCTCTTCGCGTCACTCTCTGAATATTGCGGAGGGGGTGGGGGCTGTCCACGAAATTTCACATATACAATCCAGAAAGAAAGAAAGGAAAAAGTTGCATTTCCAATATTCGGTTTGATTGTCTTCGAGCGAGGAACGAAAAAGTGGCGAAAAACGACATCTTTTTTGTTGTTGTTGTTGTCCCCCCCACCCGGATTTTTGCCTCCAACATTTTGGTTCAGGCGCGCGCATCACGGCAAATACTTGAAATTATTTCTCCAGAGTTGCACATTGAGAGAGAGTTGAGATGCGTGTGCACGTTTTGGCCTTTTGGCAGCTTTGTGGCCTGCGTTTCGCATCCAAATTGGTCTGCGACGCGGGCCTCGCCGCTCTCACTTTTTCGGCAGCCTCCATTGTCAAAAATATGCTAATAGAATATTAACAAAGAAGACTTGGGAACAATGGCGTTCAACTTGGTTTTACTTCATTTCCCACATTTGGACGTCTTTTTTTCGCCCCCCACGGCACATTCTTGTCCAACTTTATTTCCAGGAAACGACTGTAGGTAGAAAAGCGTCGAATTTTTCAGTGACGCATGAGAAGTTCCCGACTCAATTGTGGGCGATTGTTCTCCCAGTTTCTCCCCATGTTCGAAAAGAAAACGAAAAAGATGGGGAGGCGCGAGAGTGACATTGGACTGCATTTCGTGTCAAGTCAGGTCTGAGAAAGAGAACCGTTGGCCGTCCGCTCGCCGCTTTGTCAATTGCGGGCACGAAGTCGGTCGGGGTGGCTGATTTGCCCTGACCAGTGGAAACAAATCGTTCCCAAGCTTTTGCTTTGGGCGCTGAAACTTCGGCCCAAGTTTTGGACGCTCTCGCGGAGGATTTATGGCCGCCGAGATGGCGGCAATATCTTTTCGAACACTCGAGCTCATTCGATGGCCGGCCTTTTTCGCTTCTCTTCTCGACCGAGATGTTGCCGGCGCGTGACTAACCTGACGACGGACGATCGGAGTAGCGGGTGCAGTAAACCCAGGCCGGCCACAGCATCTGTTTGGCCCCCTCGGGTGCCGCGCCGCTGGTCCGGGGGCTGCGGCAGCGGCTCCGGTCGTCTCCTCGGAGCTGCTCGCTTTCTTCGCCGTCTCTCGGCTCACCCTTCCGGCCGAGGGGATCCGGACGGCGGTCGTCGGACGGCGGCGAGCCGTCTGCTCCTCCCGCGGCGCTTCGCTGTCCGTCGGGGTTGGCGATTTTGGGCGCGCTTCCCATCACCTCTCTTGCCTCTCTGATCGGGGTGCCACCTTTCCTCTTGCGGCCAAAATCCGGCCTTAAAATGTTGTCGATGTAAAAGTTGGTGGTCCTGTGAGACTGCTGGTTGCCAGGGGGCAGGATAAGAGGCGGGATGGCTCCGTTTGACTCCTCGCCGGAGTCCTCCGGGTCTCGGCGAACGTTTTCGTCCATAATGATGAGAATGATGACGAAGCTTAGGCCTCCTCGGAACTTCTGCGACAAAGTATGATTCCAATCTGACGATACCTCTTGGTTGTGATATTTACACGATCTTGTTTACTACCGTCCCCCGCGCCCCCCAAAAAACGTTTTTAGTATAGTATATGACGACTGGTATCTTTTTTAAACGCTGTTTTTTAACGGAGAAAAATAATATTTTTTTTGTTTGTTTTTACGAGATCCCCGCGCACCTTTTTTGACGCGCTCAGCGTAAACCGTTCTGATTGAGAAGACGCTCAAATACTTTCATGAAGGCTTTGGTTCTAATTTCTGATTGGCTGGGAGCCGCCGTACTACGCCGCGTTTGACACGTGCCTTGGACCAATCGAGATTCGCAGATCTTGTCACGTGACGTTACCGGAATTCCTTCCAGGCCGAATTGGTCCGGCCCATACGTACGTGCTGCGTTCACTTAAACCCCAAAATGTCACTGCTCTTAACTTGAATAGCAGACTGACTAAATAATAATGTGTAGTAAAACACACACACACAATATCCACAAACGACAGTTGGAAAATAAAACACACTTTAGCTCAGTATTGCATAGCAAAAAAAAAACAAAACAAAACAAAAAAACAACCAAACAAAAACGAACTAACCCAAATCGATATGTTCATCGGCGGATTTGTAGGAACTGTCATCATAACCCATAATGATTTGTGTTTAATGCTCATCTCACAGATTGACGTGTCCCCATATCACTACTGTTTAAGTATCTCAATTTGATGTCAAGGAGTCGTCTCAAAGACCAAATGCGTTGTGATGTTCTTCAAATTGCCGCCCAAAATGCACATGCCAATTCGCGTATCACAATGGCATTACAACATCACAATATAGGCCGAGAAACTTGCAGCATTAATTATTGGCCATTAGGAATGTAGAAAGTTAATGGGTAAACATGGGCGGAAACTGCAATTTGAGAAAAATAAGTGACATTTATATTCGTTAACTTTTTCATGCATATTTCCCATTCCACTGACGGAAACAAGTTTTTTGTTTTGTTTTGTTAAAGAACTTTGGAACATTGAAAATACAAATACTCACAGAGGATAATACAAATGCGGTAACAATATGTGAAGTAAACGAGGTAACTCGGCTGTAGTTATTTTCCAAGCCACAACACTACTTGGTTAAATGCTTTCGCACCCTGTTTCCGATGGAGCGAGCATGCAGCAGGGGCAACTGCACTTGTGCGCGCGCGCGCTTGCGTGCGTGCGTGCGGGTGTGTGTGTGTGTGTGTGTGTGTGTGTGTGTGTGTGTGTGTGTAAAATCCTTTGCGTGGACGAAGTCAACAGGTCAGAGTGGAATGGATTCAATACAAATAAAACATGACTGTGGACCACGTCACTCAGTAACCCCCCCCCCCCCACACACACACACACACACCAATGCTTGGGAGCAGCGAAATCGGATGATTCCTTTCAATTGCACACATTTCAAGTTGCCACATGAACGCGACCTTCATCAAAAGGAAGTTGTGAGTTTGGCAGCAGGAGTTTCAACTCGACGTTAGGGATGCGAATCAGACTGGAAAAGCACGCTCAACTGATTGGAGATTTGTCTCACTTGGAGACGTCAATGTATGAGGATCATTATTTTCCACTTTGGTGTATTGTGGTCACTCCAAGAAGAAATGGAATCATCACCTTTGTCACTGCCTTCTATCTGCTTTGATTTGCGTTTTTTTTTTAATGCTGAACATACATATTATTATGATTTGCACCGCATTATTGGACAGCCTCCAATTGTGAGAGCCGCGCAGGAAAAACAAATAAACTCGTATCTATACAATTCACGAATTTGTCGGCTGTTTTCAAAGACATCATTGGGGAATTGGACATCCATTTTTGCTGCCTCATGGTTGTTCACTTGCGAGCCTCAAATCGCTTCATGTTGCTCATGCTCATTTCCATTGTCCAAGTCTGACTTTGTGATCTCGAAGAGCCACTTATCGTTCTCCGCTGGGCTGATAAAGATGTCTCCTTTTCATATATTGAGCTTCTCCATTTGAAAACTTGAACCTAACGTCACGATATTCAGGGAGAAATGAACATCCACGTTACGGCGCGTTATATGTTAAGTCGCGTCTCGTCTCTTTGTGTGAAAACTTTGGAGTCCATCCATTTCCTTGTGTCACTTCTGGTCAGGATTATTTTTCAATTTGTGGTCAAATGCATACAAAAACACGCACAAAACCTGACGTGTTTTTGTTTGACACATTTCCCACGCGGATGTGAAGCCTCATGCTTGAGTCCAACTGATGCGTTTCTATCAAAAGAGCCACAGGAGATAATGTGAGGTCAAAATGAAATTGACCGGTGGCGAGGCGCCCGTCACACGGTACAGTTTGGATAATACGGTACCGATAACAGCCCGGAGAAAGATTTCCCTCGCGTACCCGTCAGAGCCGCTCATCGGCGATCTGATCCAAAAGCGTGAGCGCCTCCTCATATCCCATCCATCAATTCGACGCCGGTTGATGTGCCGTACGGAAGATAAGAGGTGGGCTTTGTGATCCTCTGAATGCTGCCGTCTCCTCCGTTGTGGGGGTGCCCACATGCGAGAGCAGTCAAGAGACAAAGCCGGAGGTCAGCCGGTGCCATCGGCTTCCCGTCCGCTTTACAAAACCTCCCGGAGGAGGAGGAGGGATGAGAGAGGGCACTTCCCATTCCGCGCCGTGCCTGCCATGCTTTGAAAAGTGTGCAGGATTATCGCAGGTCAACATGGACGCGTTTGTCGCATCTCAGCCTGCGCGCATCACGTTTATTGGCTGTTGCGCAGAAGACTGGCCGTCAATCAAACAAAAATCGCCCCACTGTTTCCTTTGTAGGACAGTCCGAAGTATTGCATCGGCCTGCGATCTGTAAAAAACATCCAACCTGAACGTGTTTTTGTACGTCACCTTGGCCTTCATTCTACTTTGTATGAAAGCTTCATTTGACTGACAATGGATCAGAAATTGGTGAATATAGAAGCGGAATTTACCGTTGTTACCGATGAAATACGACGACAGGTGCTACTCGCGCGTATGGCAATTGCATCAAACTCGAAAATGTTCTCGCTGAAATGGCCTCAGGTTACTGTAAATCAACCCGAACATGGCAGCATGGAATAAACGAAAACTGGAAGCCGGTACGCTTTCGAATCTTTCTACTGGGAATACGCCATGAGCGGCCGTACGTAGGCCGTTCACATGTTGTCACACATAAGAAGGACGTCTCTATCAAGGCTCCGGCGTGAGCGGTTCTTTCGCATTCGTACGCCATGTGTCATTCCGGTACTGCGTCTAATGATGATTAGTCAATGGAGTCGAGGAGGTGACACGATGGATTTCACGTCCTAAAGCAAGACGGTAATGATAGGTGATGTGTCGAAAGGATAATGTCTCCATTTCACACCTGCAAAGTCAACAGGTGACATATCATTAATGTGACTGAGAGAGAGAGAGAGAGAGAGAGAGAGAGAGAGAGAGAGAGAGAGAGAGAGAGAGAGAGATCTTATCCAATTATTGCTCTCAATTGGCTGCGGCTCACTTTGCCACTCAAGGTTTTAAGAAAGAAAATTAAAAGAGAGAGAAAAAAAAACATCCACAGAAAAAAAAACATGGCTGGTGTCGAGCTGACACCACCGAAGAGGCTCAAAATGTCCTGACGGTTCAATCTCCATTTTCCATGTCGTCACTGAGGAGAAAGGGTCGAGGGGAGGAAACGGAGTGAAGGAGAGCGTCAATTAGCTGTCATTTAACAACATACGAGAAAAGCTCTAACATCCTTTTCTCAACATTTCGTGAGTGCGGGCAGATGCATACGAGCGAAAAGGCTTCGAGTGGAAGTCAGAGAGCGACCGACATGCGACACCGTCGCCTTTTAAAACAGTCAAAATGTCATCCAAAACGGTTACAACTATTGTGCGTAACAGAGCGATTGTTTACAATGTAATTTTTTAATTCACTGAAATCGCAAAGAGAATTTCACAAAAAAAAAGTCCAAACGATGACCCATCTCCGAACCAGCGGCGCCCCTCTTTTTTCAACAAGCCTTTTGCTAAAAGGAAGTCAGCGTCGTGGAGATGTCTTCAAGTCAAATGAAGTCCTCCGTGAAGAACAGTACACTTGATGGAAGGAACCTTCAAAGTGAATGTCAATGTCTTTCCACCGTAATATTACAATGAATGGGATTCTGTTTCTGTGTACTGTATTTATGGCCTCGATCATCCAGTCTCATCCCACCAGGGCGGAAAGGGTTACTGTCAAATAAGACAAAACCTTAGCCTGTACAAGACAGGGGTGTCGGCTATTTCTGAAGAAAAACACTCACGCTCTCGAGAGCCACAAAATGTTTTTGACCGCTCAGAGTGACTGCAGCGGCTACCTATTTTAGGGGGGACTGAGTTGATGCGCCGAGCATGAATCGAATAACTCATTTCGACTTCGGCCCTTTGTTGACAGCACCCCTCTTCATTTGAGGATGACGTAGTCCGTGGCGCGCTCGGCGATTTGGCGCTAGCGAAGCCCGGGTCTACTCCAGTAAGCCCGCCGCAGCCACACTATCGTCTCGTTTTCAAACGCGTCGCCCCTCGACTTGTCTAAATGTTTCGTCATATGACCTTAGTGGACAGTCATGTCTGAAGAGGAAAGTAAGGTGGTTGGTGAACTTTTTAAAGATGTCAAATTCTACGTGGTTGGGGACATTGACCCAAAGGTAAGGCTGGCTGGGTGTTAGCTTCTCTTAGCTAGCATGCTAACTTGTTAGCACCATTGGATCGCCATAGGTTTTGTGGTACAAGCTAACAAGCTGGCTAGCAGGCTGCCAGGCTCAACTCGAAATAGCGCCCTTGCTCTGGCGAACATTTGACCGAATGGGGACACGCGAGACTCTTTCTATCACGGCCTATGCCTTCCGAGTTCATATGCTCTCGCTCATAACAGATCGCGTGAAGAACTTTGCCCCGAGCAGCGCTTTCCGTAGTCGGATTTCAGGCGCACTTGAGTTTCCCACTCGCACCTTACGGTTAGCCACTCGATGATCGCGGCGGTTTATAATTCCATCGTATCGCGGTGCAACAATGCCCATTAAGTTCATTTGGTCTACCTAAAGGGTAATTAACGTCGACCGCATCGCATTGAGCCGCGTTGAAGCATCAAGGTGAAGAACTCGGACATGCTGGCCAGTGTTGATTTGCAGCAACCTGTGACTGTCAACATTTTACTCGACCGAGCGTCCACGGCGTCGCACTTGCTGCCAAATCCTGAACCCGTTGCCCCGCTTCGCCAAATCATCGTTTCGTTCTTCTGAAGTCGGTCGTGCAAATGAAATAAAGCGGGCGAATGCAGTTTTGGTGGGAACGATGATGACGACGTAGGACGTCACGTGGGCGCGCTTGAAGCTGACATTGAAAACAGCGTCTTGTGCCCAAAGCATCATTGGACCGGCTGAACTATAATTATTCCCGTTTTGGTTGATGCAGCCATTGTTTGCGCTCCTGATATTGTAGGTGGTGCAGCTGTTGAAAGATGGCAAAGGCAAGGAGGTCTCCTACAATGCTCTGGCCACTCACATTATTGCGGAGGACGGGGACAACCCAGAGGTGGGGGAATCTCGCGAAGTTTTTGACCTGCCGGTGGTCAAGGTAAGAAGCCGGAGCGTTTCCTGGGCGTGGGGGTGGATGCTTGTAAGCACGCTGCTGCAGTGGCAAAATGGAAAAGAAATACCCAAATCAATACAAAAGTCTTGAATTGGTGCCCCTGATACGATGCGCCACCAACTTCACCCTCCTCGTTTTCGCTGATCATGAACATCATGCATCTCCATCGCGGGCTTTCCCCGACTAGCCCCTTCATGGATGGATGTTGTTATTTGATGTTTTTCTTTGGGGGGAAAAAAAAAACGCCACAACCCTTCGCTTCAGCTTGCGGCAAAGTCTTGTTGACGATGCTCTGGCGATTTCAATGGCACGATGAGCTCATCAGAATCACTTGTGTTTTCCAGCCATCCTGGGTGATCCTCTCGGTTCGATGCGGCGACCTTTTACCGTATCCTTCTGAGAGGCGGCATTTTAGCAGATGATGTGTTTCTTGATGTGGGCGCAACATCATTTTCTGGCAATTTCACGGAAGCATGTTGTTGCATGTTGATGTTTTCATAACCAGTAATGCCCGCAGAGTCACAGGGTTCTCTCCAGAATCGGGACAGATCTTCTTCGGAGTGACGGCCTGTCTTCCTCGTGTGAGTGAATGCGGAACGTACACATTTCCGAAACGGGGCGGAACCTTGAGGGCTACCTTTTGGATGAAACGTAGCAGATTGTCAACTGCTTCTTTTTCCACAGCTTCCAGATGACCTCAACGCGTTGTGGGCATACGTCACCTTTTATGGGGGAGAATGTCAGCTTAACCTGAACAAAAAAGTGACTCATTTGGTGGTGAACGAACCCAAAGGGGTACGTTTTACTCCACACCTGTTTGCTTCATTATGATCGTGAGCTAAAACGGCAAAACCGGTTTTAGTGTCGCAAAGACGTCCCTGCATCAGACACCTGCGTGTTTTTCTTTTCACTCCAGGCCAAGTTTGAGTGTGCCCTCAAACACCCTGCCATTAAGATCGTCACTCCAGACTGGATAACAGATTCCGTCAAAGGTAACGAACGCTCGGGTCCTTCTTGCGCTAGGAAATTTTTCTTGTGATGTCAAAATGATTCAAATGTCTCCGATTTCCAATACAGCGAAGAGCCGGAACGAGGAAGCCCTCTATCACCCTCGACTTACCTATGTGCAGCCAGAAGAAGTGGATGAGAGTGAGCCCGAGTCCTACGAGCGGCGGTCCCATTCGGACGGAAGCTACAGCCCGCGACGCTCCCGCATGTCCAGCGGCGACTCGTCCCAAGAGTCGAGTCCCCGCAGACGACCTGGCCCCAAAAAACTCAACTCCATCTCCCCGTCGCCCCCGCGGAAAACCGAAGGTCGCGGCGAGCGCATGTTTGACGACTCTGACGACGACTCGTCCGCCGAGAAGGAGGGGACCAACCTCAACTGGACTCCGGCGGAAGTGGCGACGCCGACCCCTCCCTTCGCGTCGGCCGGCGCCAGGCGGCGAGGCGGGCCGCCCGGCACCAAGGACCCCGCGTCCTCCACCGCGGGTGGTGGGCTGATCAACCTCTGTGCCAGCGTTCCTCCGGTTCCCGGCAGCGGGCCCCTATCGGCGGAGGGCCGCGCCGCCGCTGCCGTCATCGGTCCAAGTGCACCGCAAGGTCAGTCTCTTCAGCTGTGCGTGGCCCTCCCCCCCGAGTCGCTACGGTCCAGTAAATGTCGTGGCCGCGCCTGCTCATTGTAGGTGAAAAACCCTTGGGAGATGAACCGACGCACGGTGAAATGTTCACCGCACGGGTATCATCGAGAGTTTCGCGCTGAGGAAAAAACCTCATTTGGATCGCAAATAGCACAGATTTACGGATGCATCAATACCTCGGCGTATGGATGTTTGCATTCATGCTCGTCTGTAGCGGTCGCGCGGGAAGGCGTCGTGTTTCGGAGGCTTTCCGGAGCGTATTTCCTTGCCGTTGGGAAAACGGTTTCAGCTTGCAGACGTTTGGATTCCCGAACAGAGTTTGGGAATGATTTCAGCTCATCAAGAGAAGTTCCACTCTTCTGCTCTTTTCCATCTTCATGGTGGCCCTGACAAGTTCGTGTCCTTTTCCAGCCTTTGCCGTCGTCTTTGCCCTTCGTTTCTAGCAAACTAAACGGCAAAGTTGCGCAGTTTTGATACTCGGACCTGCATTCTGTGTTGTTCTGAGTAGCCGGATGACTTCTCCTGTGAATGATTTCTTCTTCTTTTTTTTAGGAGGTGTGTCGCTTCCCGACAGCCTCCCCGGTTGGAGCCCAGCGGCTCGAACCCTGCGCAACATTACCAACAACTCGGACATGCCACCCGCCATTCGACCCACCAACGTAGCGCATGTAAGAGATTTGAAAGCGCAGCCTTTGTTTTCTTCTTCTCCACGCGATTCACCTTTGCAGTATTCTTGCGATGGGACAACGGCTTGAGATTGAAGATGCTTTTCTTTGCCAGATTATCCAGAATCTGACCGCCAACCAAGGAAAGCCAATGGAGCACCAAACCAATCAAAGTCACGCTCAGACTCCAAACGCTGCCAATCCACTTCTGTTCGGTCAGTCCAAAATGGCGGGGCAACAACTCGCTGCCCAGCAGCAGCAGCAACAGTTAATGCAGCAGTCACACCAGACGGTTCAACAACAACAGCAACAACAACAACACCACCACCACCACCAACAACAACAACAACAACAACAACAACAGTTAACCCAACCGGCGCAACATCCCATGATGCAGCTCCAGCAGCAGCAGCAGATGATGCAGCTCCATCACCATCACCAACAGCAACAGTCACAAGTTGTACCACAGCAGGGGTTCTCCCAGTTGTCCCAACAGCACCAGTTCCTCCAGCAACAGCAGCAGCAAATGCACCAACAGCAGATGTTTTCACAGCAACAGCAACACAACTTCTCTCAGCAGCAGCAGCAGCTGCGGCCTCAGCCTCAGCAGCTCTTACGCCCTGGTCTTCAGCAGCTGCAGCAGCAGCAAGCGTTGCAACAACAGCTCCAGCAATTCCAGCAGCAGCAACGCATGCAGCTACTACAACAGCAGCAGCAGCAGCAGCAAAATCAGCAGCAGTTACACCAACAGCATCTACAGCAGCAGCAGCAGCAGCAGCACTTCTTGCAGCAGCAGCAACAAATCCAGCAGCTGCAGAATCAGCAGCAGCAGCAGCAGCAGGCTATTCAGCATCAGAACCAACAAGCCATGCAGCAGCAGCAGCAGCCGCAGCAGACTCTTCAGCTGACGCAGCCTGCTCATATCTCCCTGTTTGGACACGAGCCAGGACAAGAAAGTGAGGAGGAGATCGGCTTTTCATACTCCACATACACCGGCTTCCAAAGTTCAGCACTGAGCCATTTCCTTCAATTGAGCATTTAACAATGAATGACGTGACTCCTGCGACGTCGTGGGGGAACAAATTTTCCCGATCATTCGCCCATCTCTTCGTCTCCATGGTATCAATGGGCTTGTTTGTCTGTTCTTTGTTTCTTTTTCTCGTGTCGCAGTTCCCCAGGACGGCTTTTTGCTGGGATGTGTGTTTGCCATCGCCGACTACCCCGAACAGATAGCGGACAAACAATTGCTGGCCACGTGGAAACGGGTAAGATAACGCGCTTGCGCCCAAAAGAGCCGGTCCATGGCCAAGTCCTTCACCGCCAGCCATATTGCAGCACTTGCGACTTGTTGAAGACGCACAATGATTTTATCGCGGCACACCAACTGGAAGAATACGACTCTCGTTTGACCTGGGGGTTGGCGGGGGGGGGTGACTTGGCAAAAGCGAAAAGCCCCCACTCGCAATTGGGGGTTGAAGACTCGGGACTTGAATTCAGCGACTGTGCCGTGAGACCGCGATGACCGACTTGATTGTTCCCTCCCTCCACTTGAAGGTGATCCAAGTCTACGGTGGTGCCGTGGACCCCTCCCTGACCGGTCGCTGCACTCACCTGCTCTGTGAGAGTCAGGTCAGCAACATGTATGTCCAGGTGAGGATGCCTTTGGCCCTGTCCGCTTTGAGTATGGCGGCGGCACGTACCGCCTTTGAAGGGGCCTGTAATCTAATCGTACGCAACAAGATGTGACAGGCTTGTGACTTGACAGGCTGCTCAGCCTGTCAAGTTTTTTTTGGTCTTCTTTTTCAATTGTATTTTTTTTTTTTTTTTGACACCCGTGACATTTGGGTGGATTGCGTCCCTTTCCCTCAGGCCCTCAGAGAGGGAAAACGCTGCGTGACAGCCCACTGGCTCAACACGGTGCTGAAACGGAAGAGGATGGTGCCTCCTCATCGGACGCTTCATCTGCCGTTCGCCTTCCCTCCCGGAGCCAAGCCTTGCTCTCAACACGTATGCCCGACCACTCCCAATTTGATTCTCCCAACGGGCACCCGTGACGCCGTGGACATTTTTTCATCCTCAAAACATTGTCGCGGTTCACATCCGTCCGTTTCCATTCTGCGATGATCGGCCATCCAAACTCTGCACGTTGAAGTCGCGGCCGCGCAATTGCAACTCGCCGTGACTATTTTGTCCTTCCGCCATTCTACGAGGAGTCACCTTGATAGTCATTCAAAGCTCCCGCCAAGCCCCGGCCGGGTGCACCTTTCCGTGATTGAACAAAAGTGAAACACAATTTGGGATGGATCCAAAGAGGAGTCTCAACATCAAAGAAAAAACGCTCGTCCCCTTTTGCCACTTTCTCGGTAACATCTGATCGCAAAAGTCATCCGTTCCAAAACATGACGTTTTAAATACTGAATACGACGGCGCGTCAAGACAACTCGACATCGGCGATGAGAGGCGACCTCTGTCGGCTCAAAGTCGGGCTCCGTTCGGGTGGTCGGACGTCGTCATCAGTCTGCAAACGGGATCGGCTGCAAATCGGTTTGGAAGTGGATGGACGGTTTCGCTTTGTATTTCAACCGTGTCGAGGGTGCCTGCTTCTAGATGGACTCCGTCTTTCCTCCTCTCAGATTCTATCGGTGACTGGCTTTGTGGATGCCGACAGAGATGACTTGAAGTTGATGGCTTACCTGGCCGGCGCCCGATACACCGGCTACCTATGCCGCAGCAACACCGTCCTCGTCTGCAAAGAGTAAGGAGGGTGACCGGGGAGACTGCGTCAACAATCCCTTGAACTCACGACTGCTCGGTGTCGCGAATCAAGCCAAAAGGCCGCCAATCGCTGGCCGTTGAAGGGGCGTCCCAGTTGACAGATTTATCTGGGGGGGGGCGCATCAAGTGTTGTAAATTTGTCTGCATCTGGTAATTTGTCTCTTCCTCTCCAGAGCGGCTGGGCTCAAGTACGAAAAGGCCAAGGAGTGGAAGATTCCGTGCGTCAACGCTCAGTGGATGTGCGACATTCTCCTGGGCAACTTTGAAGCATTAAGACAAATCCAGCACAGCAGATACTCGGTTTATACGCACCCTGAGCCTCTGGTGCCGAACCTTCAGCTGGTGCAGAACCTGCTCGGTGGGTAGTGGTCGGAGCGCTTGGGCTTCCTGTTGCCTGGCAGGTCCATTCACCAGCTTTTGATTTGCGCTTTGATGCAGCTCCTTGGAGAACACCAATCAAAGTCTCTCAAGAAGCTTTAGCGGTGAGTTGGGCGCGGCGCACTTCCTCTGACCGGCGCTCGCTTCTCACGTTTGTTGCCGGGCCGCTCCAAGGCGCCGAAAGAGCGCCTTGCCTTGATTCCCTCGTCATCTTCTCCGTTTAGAACCTGCAGCTCCTCCAGAAACAAAAGCTGGCTGACTCCACCAACCAGCCGGCCAACAAAAAGGCCAGGTAAGACCTGCGCATTTCGCCGCACGCAGCTTTCTCGCACCGTCTCCGCTCCCTTTAAATGTTTTTTTTTTTTTAATAGCCAATCCTGATTGTGTGTGTGTGTGTGTGTGTGTGTGTGCGTGTGTGTGCGTGCGCGCGCTTCATACAGACTGGAGGAGATCCCGTCTCCCAGCAAGAAGCTTCCCCCGGAGTCCACTCCAAGAGTTATTTTTACAGGGTTCGAACCCACCCAGGTTCAGCAATACACCAAGGTAAACTGAGCACAAGAGTTCGGTGCCGCTTTTTTTCTCCATTTGACAGTCAACTATTTTTTTGGGGGTGGGGGGTAAAAGATTGTCGGTAGGTCAGGACATTGGGTGTCCTTCACGACGAATTGCCGCACCATGTCGGCTTCCCTTTTGTGGAAAGCAGATTTTGCTCGCGTGTCGAATCCCGAGCCTTCGCCGGGCATTTTCTGCCGGCGCTAAAGCCACCGAGCCGTTGTTCCGAGCCCGCACGTACACGTCTAACCGATGCCGCCCCCCGCACTCCGCAGAGGCTGCATGCTTTGGGCGGTGAAGTCGCCGAGGGCGGTCTGAAGGTGACTCACCTGGTGGCGAGCAAAGTCAAGCGCACCGTCAAATTCCTGGCCGCCATGTCTGTGGCCAAACACGTCGTCACCCCGGAGTGGCTCGAAGAGAGCTGGAGGACGCAGAAGTTTGTCGGTATGTCGGTGCCGACGTGACTGCGTGCGCGAGCGCGGCCAACTTGCACTTAGCTGATACGACGTGAGCGCAGCGTTGTGCCCCCCCGCTGCGGTTGTTCACGCACGAGCGTACTTGTGTCTGTGTGTTCCAGATGAGCAGAACTTCATTCTGAGGGACACCGAAGCGGAGGTCTTGTTTGGGTTCAGTCTTGAAGAATCCCTCAAGAAAGCCCACAACGCGCCTCTTTTCAAGGTTGGATGGACAAAAGTCTCGGGACAGAACCGCCTCATCGCACGGCGCCGTGCTCGTTGTCGGTGTCATTGTTTCGTATCTCTGGCATCGACGCGGACGCTGACTTTTCCGCTGCGCTATTGTTGGGAAGAAAGGACGACCGTGCGTTCACACTTGCAACGTTTGCTTACCTCGCCGCCGTAGGAATGGAATTCCGATTTTGGTGGCGTCGCGCTTCAGTGTTTGGGTGGCACCGTTTCCCCGCAAAGATGCATTTGTGTTGGCTTCACATGGAAGACGGCCCGCAATGGTTGGGGAAAAAAATCCCACCAATCCCAAAATGGAATTGTCATGCTTTCGGAAGATAGTTGCCAAATGACGAGCGCTCGTTTCGGCCCGAACATCTCGGCATCCGAAGTGGGCAAAATATCAACGGGGCTCCCCGACCGCCCTTGACCGTGTGCTTTTCTGTGTTTGTGCCTGCTTTTGCTGGCACGTAGGGGAAGTATTTCTATCTCACCCCTGGAATGTGCCCCAGCCTCAGCACCATGAAGGCCATCGTGGAAAGTGCCGGAGGAAAGCTGCTCGCCAAGCAGCCCTCCTACAGGAAGATCATGGAGCATAAACACAACAAGGTGACCGTGGCGCTTCCTTCCATCCCTCCCCAACCCGTTGCACAAAGCCAATTGCAATGAAGTTAGCCGGCTGCGCTGAGTTCTTTGCCGTTTGACCCAACATGAGACTCGGCTTTGAGTCCGTTGTTTTTTGGTGGCTTCTGTATTTCTGTTGGTATCCACCGAGTAATGAATTGACTGATTGAATAATGACAAATGAATGGAAAATTCATTTATCAATGTAATGTTCGTTGTTCCCGTTTAGTCCATGTCCAGCGCTTTGTCTGTAGCAAGACTTGTTTTCAAGTGCTCGATTTAAAAAAAAAAAAAAAAAGAGTTGGGTGAAGTGCTAATTATTTTTTTTTTTTTTTTTAAGTCTCAATATGATGAGAATTACAAAGGACATTTTGTCTTGCTGCAGAATCTCCCAGAGATCGTCTTGATTTCCTGTGACAACGATCTACATCTGTGTCGAGAATACTTCCTTAAAAACATCGGTAAGGTCGACGGGCGCACGCTGCACTCCTCAAAAATGGGGCCCATTCATGCAAGGATGTAAAAAGGTGTGTGTGTTGACTCTGCAACGCGTGTCTCCCTCCCTCCCTCTCTCTCATTCAGATGTCCACAACGCCGAGTTCATTCTGACCGGAGTGCTCACCCAGAAGCTCAATTATGATTCATATCCTTTTGACACTTCCACAAAACAATTTGAGCCATTGCATTAAGGGCTCCTTTTTTGTTGGTTCCAACAACCAACCCCCCCTTGTTTCCTTGACGGTTGACACGTATAAGTTCACTTGATGAAGCGCCGGAGACCTGGAGAAGAGGAGCGACCAGTGTCTCGCCACATGGACTTTTCTATGTTTTTACCTTTTGTGCAGAGATAGCCAGTCTTTTTTTTTTTTCCTTTTTTGTTGGTTCCAACAACCAACCCCCCCTTGTTTCCTTGACGGTTGACACGTATAAGTTCACTTGATGAAGCGCCGGAGACCTGGAGAAGAGGAGCGACCAGTGTCTCGCCACATGGACTTTTCTATGTTTTTACCTTTTGTGCAGAGATAGCCAGTCTTTTTTTTTTTGTAGTTTTGCTTACATGTTTCAGAATAAATAAATGGATGTTATTTTTGTCAAATGAATGTTCAAATGATGGCCTATTTTAAACCTTGCTCTCATTGTTCAATGTGTACAGGCGTCATGGTAAATACGATGCTCTTTTTGAAATAAAATGGCTCAATATTTGTGAAGCCGGTTCCCTTTTTCAACTCGCTGCGTGAGTTCCTCGAAAGTGACCTTGGTGTTCGGTTTGCGAGCGCCTCGATGTCTTCGGCTAGCCACGTGCTGACGATCCCCGCTCGTTTCCGGACGAGAACGACGGACCCTGCCTGCCGAACAAAAGCTTGCTCTCATTCCGAAGCTCTCCCTTCAAGGTTTGAGCCCCTAATTCCTGATAGATTTGATTTAATTAACCGTTCATGATGCTCCGGGGTGGTTCCTGGTGAAGTTCTAATTGCAGACTGTCAAGCGGGTGGCCCGAGGCCGTCTGGAGGGAAGGGCGAGGCGCTTCCCCGTCGCTCGCGGTGCCGCCCTCCAAACTGCCGTGGACCGAATTAGACAACCCGAGCCAAGGTCATGTGCTACATATCGTTTTATTTGAGCGTCTCTTCCCCGCGTCTTCCAAGGGGCCGCAAAGCTACGACTCGAGTTCGTCGACGATGTGGCCACATCGATCGTCACCGGACGAGTACACATCGACGCATCGTTTTTTGTGTTCTCCAAATCATTTCATACGCAAAAATCCCAATGGCCTTTGATTTAAAGACGTTTCACGTTCGTTAATGCTTCAACTTTAAGCCTTGAACGATGATGATTTGACGCAAGGCTTCGCCCTGGGATTGTACGTTTCAATGTGATTTTACTGCTTGATATATTTAAAAAGAGGAGCAACAATACAAACGTTCTGCAAATCACAGAATATCTTTGGGCTCGTTCTTCCCGTCGATGGTGACGTCGAATGAAAACATCCCGTTGTGTAAAGAGCACCTACACTCGTGTCAAATACTAATTAATCCCAATTCGAAATGCAAATCAGGAACATCTTTGATTAATAAGCGCTAAGTTCCTTGTTGGTTTGTGATGTCGTCCTCTGACGCTGCGGAGGGAAGGCAAGACACAAAAGTACCGGGACACAGACTCGATTTGTAATTAATACACAAGCCTCAATATGATGAGAATTACAAAGGACATTTTGTCTTGCTGCAGAATCTCCCAGAGATCGTCTTGATTTCCTGTGACAACGATCTACATCTGTGTCGAGAATACTTCCTTAAAAACATCGGTAAGGTCGACGGGCGCACGCTGCACTCCTCAAAAATGGGGCCCATTCATGCAAGGATGTAAAAAGGTGTGTGTGTTGACTCTGCAACGCGTGTCTCCCTCCCTCCCTCTCTCTCATTCAGATGTCCACAACGCCGAGTTCATTCTGACCGGAGTGCTCACCCAGAAGCTCAATTATGATTCATATCCTTTTGACACTTCCACAAAACAATTTGAGCCATTGCATTCAGGGCTCCTTTTTTGTTGGTTCCAACAACCAACCCCCCCTTGTTTCCTTGACGGTTGACACGTATAAGTTCACTTGATGAAGCGCCGGAGACCTGGAGAAGAGGAGCGACCAGTGTCTCGCCACATGGACTTTTCTATGTTTTTACCTTTTGTGCAGAGATAGCCAGTCTTTTTTTTTTTTTTTGTAGTTTTGCTTACATGTTTCAGAATAAATAAATGGATGTTATTTTTGTCAAATGAATGTTCAAATGATGGCCTATTTTAAACCTTGCTCTCATTGTTCAATGTGTACAGGCGTCATGGTAAATACGATGCTCTTTTTGAAATAAAATGGCTCAATATTTGTGAAGCCGGTTCCCTTTTTCAACTCGCTGCGTGAGTTCCTCGAAAGTGACCTTGGTGTTCGGTTTGCGAGCGCCTCGATGTCTTCGGCTAGCCACGTGCTGACGATCCCCGCTCGTTTCCGGACGAGAACGACGGACCCTGCCTGCCGAACAAAAGCTTGCTCTCATTCCGAAGCTCTCCCTTCAAGGTTTGAGCCCCTAATTCCTGATAGATTTGATTTAATTAACCGTTCATGATGCTCCGGGGTGGTTCCTGGTGAAGTTCTAATTGCAGACTGTCAAGCGGGTGGCCCGAGGCCGTCTGGAGGGAAGGGCGAGGCGCTTCCCCGTCGCTCGCGGTGCCGCCCTCCAAACTGCCGTGGACCGAATTAGACAACCCGAGCCAAGGTCATGTGCTACATATCGTTTTATTTGAGCGTCTCTTCCCCGCGTCTTCCAAGGGGCCGCAAAGCTACGACTCGAGTTCGTCGACGATGTGGCCACATCGATCGTCACCGGACGAGTACACATCGACGCATCGTTTTTTGTGTTCTCCAAATCATTTCATACGCAAAAATCCCAATGGCCTTTGATTTAAAGACGTTTCACGTTCGTTAATGCTTCAACTTTAAGCCTTGAACGATGATGATTTGACGCAAGGCTTCGCCCTGGGATTGTACGTTTCAATGTGATTTTACTGCTTGATATATTTAAAAAGAGGAGCAACAATACAAACGTTCTGCAAATCACAGAATATCTTTGGGCTCGTTCTTCCCGTCGATGGTGACGTCGAATGAAAACATCCCGTTGTGTAAAGAGCACCTACACTCGTGTCAAATACTAATTAATCCCAATTCGAAATGCAAATCAGGAACATCTTTGATTAATAAGCGCTAAGTTCCTTGTTGGTTTGTGATGTCGTCCTCTGACGCTGCGGAGGGAAGGCAAGACACAAAAGTACCGGGACACAGACTCGATTTGTAATTAATACACAAGCGCTTCATGTGAGATATTTATAATTACCTGCCCCCCACCCCCCACCCTGGAAGCAGCAGACACTTTCGGGCCACCAACTTCCTTCGTCGCTGTCCCGTCTAACTACAGGCTAATTACACGGAGGCGGGCGCTGGGATTCATGAACGCAGGAGCTAATTACGAACTCATTATCCATTTTCCCAATTACTGCTGCTTTCTTTCCTCATCACGTTTTTTAAAAGTGAGAGTTCCATATTCAAAGTGTTTAAGGCTCCAGCGGCCACCGCTGACCTACATCAGCTATCCTCCTTGCAATTGGTACGAGCGAGTTGCTCGAAAACAAAACGCCGATTGTGGTCGTCACCCACCCACCTTCAGGTTGAAGTGAACGATGAGAGCCGCCCCCCCACCTCCAGAGCCGGCTGTCATTTTCCTTCTCTCTCTCTCTCACTCTCTCTCTCTCTCCTGCACGGAGTGCACGCTGAGCACGCACTCCGTCGCGTCTGTGCAGCCACAGACAGACACATACCTGTCAACTTGTACGTTTTGCCCGTATTTTATACGTTTTTTTTCATCATTTCAAATCATGTACGGCGTATTACAACTTTGACACGGAAAAAAAAAAACCCAATTGTGAACCGATCTCACAAAGACCATTTTGGCTCAAATCCAGATCGCCTCACCTGCTGGTAGCCAACGCGACAATGCCGTCGTCGATCGCTATTATTGTCACGGCAAACCAGCAAAAGTAATCCTCAATCGTATATTTTTTTTCATCGCTGCGTACGGTAGGGTTGATGAAGCATGATGTGCGCATGCGCGGTAAGCCGTTGTCAGGGTTTTTGTTGCTTTTTAAGGGGAATCGTAATCATTTAATAAGGGCAGCGATTAGCCGAGGTTGACAGGTATGCAAAAGAATTTGACTTTCCCAGTTCCAACTCGTCCAGAGGATCATAAACACAACAACAAAGACCAAAATGGTGAGACAGAACCTGAAAAAGGTACCCAGGGAGTTGTATTTTTTCGGTGGGACTGTACTTGTAAAGTTGAGAGCCACTTCAGTCGAAGGTTTGTCATTCCTATTGGTCACCAGTAGACGGCGCCCTTACGTTTCGTAAAGACCTTGTCAACACCGTCGACGACGGGCGCGAGCCTCTTGCGAGTTTGCGGTCGAATTTTACAATTATTCTGACTGCTGTTAGCTGACATTGGAAAGCAAAATCGGGTT